GAAGTTGTTGTGGCTAAGTTAAAAAGGGTGTTGCCTATGTTCTCCTCTAGGATTTTGATGGATTCTTGTCTCACATTTAGATCTTTCAACCATTTTGAGATTTATCTTTGTGTTTGGTATAAGAGAACGGTCTAGTTTCATTCTTCTGCATGTGGCTGTCCAATTTTCCGAACACCATTTATTGAAGAGACTGTCCTTTTTCCAATGGATATTCTTTCCTGCTTTGTCGAATATTAGTTGATTGTAGAGTTGAGGGCCCATTTCTGGGTTCTCTATTCTGTTCCATTGATCTATGTGTTTTTGTACTGGTACCATATTGTCTTGATGATCATAGCTTTGTAACACAGCTTGAAATCTGGCATTGTGATGCCCTGGCATCGGTTTTCTTTTCCAGTATGCCCCTGGCTATTCGGGGTCTTTTCTGATTCAATACAAATTTTATTTGTTCCAACTCTGTGAAGAAAGTCCATGATATTTTGATAAGGATTGCATTGAACCTGTAAATTGCCCTGGGTAGCATAGACATTTTCACAGTATTAATTCTTCCAATCTATGAGCATGGAATATTTTTCCATTTCTTTGTGTCTTCCTCAGTTTCTTTCAGAAGTGTTCTATATGTTTTAGGGTATAGATCCTTTACCTCTTTGGTTAGGTTTATGGCTAGGTATCTTATGCTTTTGGGTGCAATTGTCAATGGGATTGACTCCTTAATTTCTCTTTCTTCAGTCTCATTGTTAGTGTATAGAAATGCCACTGATTTCTGGGCATTGATTTTGTATCCTGCCACACTGCCGAATTGCTGTATGAGTTCTGGCAATCTTGGGGTGGAGTCTTTTGGATTTTTTGTGTACAGTATCATGTCATCTGTGAAGAGGGAGAGTTTGACTTCTTCTTTGCCAATTTGAATGCCTTTTCTTTCTTTTTGTTGCCTGGTTGCTGAGGCTAGGACTTCTAGTACTATTTTGAATAACAGTGGTGAGAGTAGACATCCCTGTTGTGTTCCTGATCTTAGGGGAAAGGCTCTCAGTTTTTCCCCATTGAGAATGATATTCGCTGTGGGCTTTTCGTAGATGGCTTTTAAGATGCTGAGGTATGTTCCCTCTCCTCTATCCCTACTCTGAAGAGTTTTGATCAGGAAAGAATGCTGTCTTTCGTCAAATGCTTTCTCTGCATCTACTGAAATGATCCTAGGATTCTTGTTTTTTCTCTTGTTGATATGATCTATCACTTTGATTGTTTTATGAATGTTGAACCACCCTTGCATCCCAGGGATAAATCCTACTTGGTCATGGTGAATAATCTTCGTATATTGGATGTACATTGTATCCAAGTACAAGTATCCAAGTATCCAAGTATCCAGTACAATACTTGTATCCAAGTATCCAATATACTTCGTATATTGGATATTCGTATGTTGGATCCTATTGACTAGCACCTTGGTGAGAATTTTTGCATCCATGTTCATCAGGGATATTGGTCTATAGTTCTCCTTTTCGATGGGGGCTTTGTCTGGTTTTGGAATCAAGGTAATGGTGCCTCATAAAACAAGTTTGGAAGTATTCCCTCCCTTTCTATCCTTTGAAACAGCTTTGATAGTTTAGGTATTGTTTCTTCTTTAAACATTTGATAGAATTCCCCTGGGAAGCCATCTGGCCCCGGACCTTTTGTGTCTTGGGAGGTTTTTGATGACTGCTTCAGTTTCCTGATTATTGGCCTGTTCAGGTTTTCTATTTCTTCCTGTTCCAGTTTGGTAACTTGTGGTTTTTCCAGAAATGCATCCATTTCTTCTAGATTGCCTAATTTGTTGGCATATAACTGCTCAAATGATTTTTAAAATAGTTTGTATTTCCCTGGTATTAGTTGTGATCGTTCCTCTTTGATTTGTGATTTTTTAATTTGAGTCTTTTTTCTTTTTAATAAGGCTGGCTAGGGATTTTTCTATCTTATTAATTCTTTAAAAGAACCAACTCCTGGTTTTGTTGATCTGTTTTATAGTTCTAGTCTCTGTTTCATTGAGTTCTCTTTGAATCTTTATTATCTCTCTTCTGTTTAGGGTAGAATTTATTTGGTGTTCTTTCTCCAGTTCCTTTAGGTGAGAGGGTAGCTTGTGTATTTGAGTTTTTTCCAATTATTTGAGGGAGGCTTGTATTGTGATGCATTTCCTTTTGCAAGATTTTGAACGGTTGTATCTTCATTTTCATTAATTTCCATGAATCTTTTTAATTCTTCTCTAATTTCCTGGTTGACCCATTCATTTTTTAGTAGGATGCTCTTTAACCTCCATGTATTTGAGTTTCTTCCAAATTTCTTCTTGTGATTGAATTCTAGTTTCAAAGCATTGTGGTCTGAAAATATGCAGGGGACAATCCCAGTCTTTTGGTATTTGCTGAGATCTGAATTGTGACCCATTATGTGGTCTATTCTGGAGAAAGTTCCATATGTACTTGAGAACAATGTGTGTATTCAGTTGCATTCAGGTGGAAAGTTCTATATGTATCTGTGAAATCTATTTGGTCCAGTGTATTATTTAAGGCCCTTGTTTCTTTGGTGATCTGCTTAGAATATCTGTCATTTGCTGAAAGTGCTGTGTTGAAGTCTCCTACTGTTAGTGTGTTATTATCTAAGTATCTCTTTACTTTGGTTATTAATTGATTCATATACTAGGCAGCTTCCACAGTAGGGGCAGAAATACTCATGATTGTTAGGTCTTCTTATTGGATGGACCCTTTAAGTATGATATAGTGTCCCTCTTCATCTCTTACTACAGTCTTTGGTATAAACTTTAATTTATCTGATATGAGGATTGCTATCCCAGCTTTCTTTTGAGGACCATTTGAATGGTAAATGGTTCTCCACCCCTTCATTTTCAGGCTGGAGGTGTTCTTATATCTAAAATGAGTCTCTTGCAGATAGCATATAGATAGGTGGGTCTTGCTTTTTTATCCAGTCTGAAACCCTGCATCTTTTGATGGGATCATTTAGACTATTTACATTCAGAGTAACTATTGAAAGATACGAGTTTAGTGACATCATAATACCTATTCAGTTCCTGTTTTTGTGGATTATTTCCTTGGGCTTCCTCTTTTTTTTAGATGGTCCCCCCTTAATATTTCTTGCAGAGCCAGTTTGGTCGTCATATATTCTTTCAGTTTCTGTCTATCTTGGAAGTTCTTTATCTCTCCTATTCTGATTGACAGCCTTGCTGGATAAAGTATTCTTGGCTGCATGTTCTTCCCAGTTAGTACCCGAGATATATCATCCCAGCCCTTTCTGGCCTGCCAGGTCTCTGTGGAGAGGTCTGTTATTAATCTGATATTTCTCCCTATATAAGTTAAGAATCTCTTGTCTTAACCTGCTTTAATAATTTTCTCTTTATCTTTGAAATTTGCAAGTTTCACTATTAAATGTGGAGGTGTTGAATGGTTTCTACTGATTTTGGGGGGAAGTGGGTCCTCTCTTATCTCCTGGATCTGAATGCCTGTTTCTTTCCCCAGATTAGGAACGTTCTCAGCTATGATTTGTTCAAATATACTTTGTGGTCCTCTTTCTCTTTCAGCCTCTCCTGGAATCCCAGTTACACATAGATTCTTCCTTCTGAGGTTATCATTTATTTCCCTAAGCCTTTCCTCATGGCACTTAATTATTTTTCTCTTTTTTCCTCAGCTTCCTTCCATTCCATCAACTTGTCTTCTGTGTCACTGACTCTCTTCTATCTCATTAGCTCTAGCAGTTAGAACATCCAGTTTGGATTGTGTCTCATTTAATCTATTTTTAATTTCGGCCTGATTAGATCTCAATTCTGCAGTAAGGAAGTCACTAGAGGCCTTAATGCTTTTTTCCTGAGCCACCAGTAGCTTTATAATTGTACTTCTGAATCGAATTTCTGACATCATATTGAAATCCAAATTCTGTAACTCTGTGGCAGAGAGTATGTTTCCGGTTCTTTCTTTTGTGGTGAATTCTTCCTTCTAGTGATTTTGTCCAATGCAGAGTGGCTGTATCAGTGGGCTGAACCAAAAATATCAACCACGACCTAAGTAAAGTACACCCTAGATCATTTCAAACAGGTCAGAGACCGGAAAATAAAAGAAAAAGAAGAACAGAACAAAATAAAAGGACCACTAAAGTGAAAAACGAATTTTAAAACAAAGTAGTAAAAATAAAAAGCTAAAAACAAAGAAGAAAAAGAAAAAAAGTAAAGAAGAGAAAAAAGGGGGGGATGGCTGGGATCCCTGGGTGGCGCAGTGGTTTAGTGCCTGCCTTTGGCCCAGGGCACGATCCTGGAGACCCAGGATTGAATCCCACTTCGGGCTCCCTGCATGGAGCCTGCTTCTCCCTCTGCCTGTGTCTCTGCCTCTCTCTCTCTCTCTCTCTGACTATCATGAATAAATAAATAAAATCTGTAAAAAAAAAAGGGGGGGGGATGGTGGTGGTGAAGAAGTGGTAGTGGAGAGAGAATGTGGTCTACCTGAGGGGTCCTAGAGGATGATCCTCTTGGTTCTGAGTGTATTTTGTTTTGTATGTTAGAAGATGCTCAATCCCAAATTCATATAAAGCAGCAATACTTATAGAAAGCCCCAACATTGACCACCAAAATATTAACAAGAAAAAAGGAGGAAGGAAGGGAGAATATAATCTCACAAAATGAACCAACACAGTGTTCCACTTGGTTCTGGGTGTTGGTCGTGTTTTAGAAGGTACTAACTTTATTGTAAAACAAAACGAGACAGAAAAAAAACAACAAAAACCTGTATCTCATATCTACCAAAATTAAATTGAATACGTTGAAGTGAATCCAGAAGTGAAAAATATATCTAAGATCTGTAATTGTAGAAATATGAAAGTCAAAAAGGAAAAAACTTAAAAATGAAGAGCTGGTAAAATATTTTAGTTAAGGTGGGAAAAGGGAAAATATATTGGAAATTTTTAGTCTGATATAAAAACAAGTCCTAATGGGGAAAAAAAATGACCCTCTAGTTTTATACGCTATTTTCCCTCAGTCTTGGAGTTTTCCAGCGTTGCTCCAGAACTTGCTCTTCTGTTCTCCCAGCTGGTCTTCTGGAGGAGGGGCCTGCTGCTGTGCTGATTCTCAGGTGTGTGTACCTGGGTGGAGATCCCCCATCCCCCCCCCCCCCCCCCCCCCCCCCCGCCTACCAGGTGCCGGGCTCAGTGGGAGCTGTTTACCCTGTGAGGCCTCTGTTCCCTGGCAGCCCTGCCCCTCCCAGGCACAAGGTGACACGAGGAAAACCAACAATGGCAGCGACCAGATCTCCAGCTCTGGAGTCAGCTTCCCATGAGTAACTAACTACAATCTCCCAGTCTACACTGGCATAGATGCTCCTGGGACAGGGGCGCTGACATGCTCAGCTTGGGGGCACGCACCCAGTAGCAGGAGAGTCCTCACTGCCTTGTGCCCTCCCCGCCTCTACCTGACCTAGGGGGAACACAGAATCGCTGGCTTTGTCCGTTTGAGCTCCCTGGGATCCAGAGCCCTGCGCCCCTGGACCCGTGCTCCCTGGGGGCCACCCCTCCCAAACGGGGGAGGAATGGGGAACAGCTACCTCCCTCTAGAGCAGGGCTCTAGAATAAAGGGAGCTCCAGAGCCAGCCTGCCTAACCGACTGGCTTCTCCCAAATGCCCTGAGAGCTGTTCCACTCCAGCCCTTTTTTCTTTTTATTTGGGGGGGGGGGTCCAAGTTTTATTCAAGAAGTCAAAGTAGGGATCCCTGGGTGGCACAGCGGTTTGGCGCCTGCCTTTGGCCCAGGGTGCGATCCTGGAGACCCGGGATCGAGTCCCACATCGGGCTCCCGGTGTATGGAGCCTGCTTCTCCCTCTGCCTGTGTCTCTGCCTCTCTCTCTCTGTGTGTGACTATCATAAATAAAAAAAAAATTAAAAAATTAAAAAAGTCAAAGTATTTGAGATAAATGAATTTTAATCCTCATCTTCCTCGTTCTGATTAATCTGGAAGTAATGCAACTTGTAACTCTCCTTGCTGTTAGCAACTACGCGCAACCAGTCACAGAGGTGGTTATTTTTCAAATATTTTTTGGTGAGATTTCCAATACCTTTGGGAAAAAGGTACCTCAGAAGTTACCCCTTTGCCACAAGCTTTTTCACGGGCGCCATGGTGGCAGCGGGGCGGAAAAGCTCCACTCCAGCCCTTTACCAAGATTGGTCCACGGTTTGCAGTGAGCTTTCTCCCAGGTGCCCTTCCTCTTATAGTGACTCCGGGAATCTTGAGGCTTCACTGTCTCCCCTGCGACTCTGCCTGATTTCTCTTAGGCTAAGCACTTTTCTTTCTGAAAACTCCGGCATGGATTTTTAAAGTTACCGCTTCTCCTGGGCTGGGCTTTCCTGCCATGAAGGCTTTTGCAACTCTGCTTTAGCCCGGGTCCTCGCGTAGCCCTTCCCCCACTTTATTATTTTTTATTTTTTGCCTTCCTACCTTTTTAGAAGCAAAAATTTTCTCTCTGTAGCATTCCAGCTGCTCTCTTTAAATCTCAGGTCGAATTCGTAGGTGTTCAGGATATTTTGAAAGTTATCTAGGTAAGTTTGTGGGGCCAGGTGAGTTGAGGACCCTTACTCTTCCACCATCTTGCCCCTCCCATCTTTTATTATGTTTTTAATTTTAATTCCAATACAGTTAACATAGTATTGTATTAGATTCAGGTATACAATATAGTGATTGAAGAATTCTATTCATTACACAGTGCTCATCATGGTAAGTAATGGTAATCCCCTTAATGGTAATCCCCTTCACCTATTACATCCATCGTACCCACCCCGCCCCCGACCTCGCCTCTGATGACCATCAGTTGTCTTTAATTAAGGGTTTGTTTCTTGGTTTGTGTCTCATTTTCCCCCTTTTGTTCGTTTTGTTTCTTAAATTCCACATGTGAGTGAAATCCTATGAGATTTGTCTCTCTCTGACTGACTTTGCTTAGCATTATACTCTCTAGTGTGCCCAGCAATTTTTAATTGAATGCTGAACATTATGAAAAATTGTAAAGGTTCTAGATATTATCTTGCTGCAGAATGGTTCAGTCTTCTCTTTATTAGGCGACCGAGTAGGAGATGAACCACTGTAACCCAGTGAGGGATGGTGCTGATTGGAGTCTGGGCTGCACTTGGGTATGACTTCATCAGCCTGTCGTGTGCCCCAAATCCTGGAGTGCAGCCCAGGATTCATCTTGAGAACTTGATTAGGGTACAGAACTCATTCTTGCTTTTCAGAGGCTTTTGCTTAGCTTATTACATCCCTGTCCTTTCCAACTTCAGAATTTCATTCTGAAATTGGGAAAATTACTTGAGTGTCACATTCAGTTCTCTGACCCTTCCTCTCCCCACTTGGCTCCTTAAGTCTCCAGATTTTGTCTTTAGCCCCTATGAAAGTCTCTGAAGCTCTGGAGGTTTCTTTGCCCATACTCTCAGCTTTTTGCCATACTCAGGATGGGCAAGTGCTCTGAAGGAAAAGCTACAGAATGTTGACTCCTCTCATTACAGGTTTCCCTCATTATTTGAAAATAGAGCATTCCTGTGAAAACTTTGTAAGCTGAAATGGTGTAACAGCAAAGTAGCAATTATTATGAATTTGTAAGGGAAACTTTTTGAACATTCCCAGACCCTCTCTTTGGCTTTTCTGATACTTTAGGACACATCTTGCTAACAGATGGACAGAATAAATCAAGATAAAGCACTGATGCTCATAGACACAGTTCAAAGCCATGGTGGCATGATGCTGAGGTGCTGCGTGTAGTTTTAGGGGAAGGAGATGGGCAGTACTGATTTGCTGCTCTGGGGGTGCTGCCGTCACTGTAACAACTTGTTGCAAAACAAATGCTGAATTCTATTTTTACTTTTTACCTTTTTCATAGAAGTGAAAATCTACTTCAGATTTTTTCAGATACTAAGGTAGGTTTTTAGTAAAAGTTAAGTGACATAACACAGACTTTTGAAATCAGGGGATAAATATACCTCTTTTGCATAATCTTGGTTCTGCAAAGCCTGGTTGTCCTAGCAGTTCTCATGACTTCAAAACAGGTGGTGGTGGTGGTTGCTAATAGCTTTTTTATAGCCAAAGGCAGAAATGTAATTTTTTTTTTTAATGTTGAACTTTACAGGTGTGACAAGAGGCTGTGGGTGCACAGGAAGGTACTTAGCCCAACTAGACTTACTAGGAAAAGTGTGGTAAGGAGTGACCATTGAAATAGCTCTTGAAGGATAAATAATTAGGTAGGTAAAAGAGAGAGGGATGTGTTCCGACCAGAGGGAACAGTATGAACAGAGGAACAGTGTTGTAATAAAACTGCATGGCAAGAGCAGGGAAGGACATAATTACAAATACTGCTCTTCCAGTATGAATGTTAAGGCAGAGGTGATAGGAAGATGAGTAGGCTGGAGAGGTAGGTCATAGGGATTGTATGCCATGCCTGGGGGATTGTACTTAATCTTTTAGGTAATGGTGAGCCTTTTAGAGTTTAAAGCTGGAGAGGATTTTTATTTTAAGGATCAGAATAGTAGCATGTGGAATATAAAATCCTGTGTTTTACTAGGTTGAATCAATCTGTTCCAAATTCTCTTGAGGATTAGTTATTCAACTTAGTGAACTCGCTTAACCCTATTTGAGGAATCCATGTAAAAGAAAACAGATTCCTTGACCAGGAAGTACTATCTGGGGTGGGCAGCCAGTTCTGTCTGCTTTCCTTTCTTCCTCCCATTCTTCCTTCTGAATCGGACTACTTAGTCATAGAACTTAATTTTTGTAAAGCTATCCTGATAATATTACTCTTTAGTACATGTTTTAATTGATTTGAAAAGGTGATTTTAGTATGACTTCCTAAGAGTGAGTCTTAAACTGTTAAACTTGTGGAGTTTTTGCTGTTGCTGCTGCTTGCTGTTGTTACTGGTTTTGATTAGTGAGATAATACTAGCCATGCAGGAATGCTTTCTTGGCCCTGGCCTCATATTTTAATATAAGGTATAAAGTCCAAAGACTAGCCATGATCTCTTTCATAACTAGTTGTATTATAATTGATTTAAAATAATTATTTGTATGTAATATTTTTAAATTTGCTTTTTTCTGGGATCATTAGAACAGCAAGTATTTTTAGAGGTGGGAAAGAACAAAACCAGCATTTGAGTGCCTTTTGTATTCTATGTACTTTCTGTAAGTTGAATCATTTAGTTACAACCATGATATCGACCTCTGTAGGTAACTGTTCCCTATGTTATATACTTTTATAGCATATTTTGTCCATCTTTTGTGGCACTTCTTACAATTATATGTTTGTTATTTAATGTCAAACACCAAATAGGCACATTATATATAATTTGTCATTTAGGGATCTTTTTCTCTATCCCCATTGTATGGCTTTCTGAGCTGAAGGTGGAATTGATGATGTTCTTGTTCCCTATTGCTACTCTGGATCATTGTTCTTTCACCTCCTTTAAGTCTCCCCAGTTTCATCAGGTTCTAGCACCATCTATTTCTCCTTCTGCAAATGTATTTCTTTATTGATTTGTTTGGATGGCTTGCTGAACATTACTTTTTTATTTGTTTTGGCATTTTATATAAAAGCTCATCCTAGTAGGAATTTAATTTCTCTTGAATGCATAATTCTCTCCATCTAGAAATGTTGTGACTGCCTTTATTCACTTAGTTCCCAGGGACTTTTTGGAGACCCCAGTCCAGAACTAGATCTTAAAGTAGCAGCTCAGGGCTCTGTGGAAAATGATATATTGTAGAACCAGTGACCATGCTAACAGCTCTTTGACTCAGGGCCTATAGTTGCCCGTCTGTGTCAGCTTTCTCTCACTTTTCCTGAAAAGCCACAGCTCCAGACAATAATGTTTTGCCACCTTTTTCAGACTCTCTGCGTGAGAGAGAATTCAGCTCTGGTTCTAATAACCTAACTCCAGTTTCCTCTGTCATGTTGAACAGTATAGTCTATGCAGGACATAAATTATTTTGCTACTCTGTGCACCCAGAAACTGTCAAGCCCACAGCTTCAGTTTCATGAACTGCCTATGTTTCCTTTAAAAAAATTTTTTTAAATATATTTTTTAAAGATTTTATTTATATATTTGACCGAGCAAGCAAGAGAGAGTGCAAGTAGGGAGAGTAGCAGCGGGGGAGAGGGAGAAGCAGGCATCCTACTGAATAGGGAGCCCAATGCAGGGCTCCATCCCAGGACGCTGGGATCATGACCTGAGCCACTCAGGTGTTCCCTGTATTTCTTTTTGATTAAAGTAATTATACCACTGATTCTCAGAGTATCTGTTTATAATAGTCTTTTTCACCCACCTTGATTTTATTTGCAAGTCAGAAGAGCTTGACAACAGGTTATTTCCTCCAGGTTGACTTCATTCCTATGCTTTAAAGTTCATGGGCTTTAAAAAACGTAGCTCTTTTCAATGTCTTTAAAATGATTACATCCTCTCCTCACTTTTTAATTTTTAAGGTACACATTCATTACTGTCTTCTATAAGAAGCTTTCATTCTGCTTCCACACAAGACCAAGTGCCTTTCTAGTGTGTTCCTTTAGCACTGTATATGCCTCTCTTTTACACTAATCATTGTTTATTGACATTTTCTGATTGTTTGCCTCATCATAGGACTTTAAATTTTGAAGTTCAAACAGAAAACTTTTTATTCATTGTATTCCCAGGACCTGCCATATGATAGACACTGAATATTTATTAATATGAACTGTTTTGGTTGTCAGATGTTTTCAGATTATTGTTCATAGTCTTAACACCAGTTTGGTGGTAAGATGTTAATGTGAGAGGTTGTAAATTTTTATCTCACTTTCTTGGCAGTATTTTTTGTGCAGTAGTCTAGGATCAGTCTTTATTTGACAAAAAGAATTGACTAGAAGGTAGATATATGGCAGTTAACCTTCTGAAATACAAGTTATAACTGAGTTTACAGCTAGATGTAAAAATGACATGTGTGATTAGTTGGTTTGGCCAACATTTAGAAATACTTTACTATGTTATGCCAAAATGAAAGAGGAATTAGAAAAAAAAAAAGAGAAATTACTTTGCCAGTCCAATGGCAGATTATAATGAGCACCAAGTCATGTATTTCTCACACTAAAGAAAGCCAAGGGGAGGAGAGAAGAAATTCCAACTGAAATACTTGTTTGAGGAGATACATTATGAAAATATATAGCCCTCCTTGCTTTCATAACTCTTAATGTATCTCTCTGTGATAAAAGAATTTCATAAAATTGACCCATAGTAATCAGGTAAGAGGTTTAAGCTATGATCTCTGTACTTTCTAAGGAATGAGATAAATATATTTTAAAGGATTTCCATCTAAAATGGTTATAATTACAAAGATTGCAGTGCTTAGATTAAGCACTTTACTTGTCTGAAACCCTCACTTACTGAAAATACTTTTTCCCACTAATCACAGAGTCATTTCTGTACTCTGTTGTATTTACCTGGTAGAGGTAGTTCTCATGGATCTGTTTAATTTATTATAAGTAGATTATTACTAGGTTTGTTTTATTTTGTATTTTTCATGGTGCCTGCAAAACTTGACAGTAAAGATATCTAAATCATTATTGCTTTAAAATGTGTACCTTCTAAAAATTAAGCCTGTACTCAGCAGTTTAATATGTAGGAAGCAGTAATGTTATGTGTTTGTATAATAATCTCTCCACTGGTAAATTAATGCAGGTGAATTTCCCTTTCAATATTCTTCCATGATCTTTAAATGTGTAATTCATCTGGTTGTACCTGGTATTTTTCATTTATTTCTGTTGACTTTAGTTTTGTTTTTAATGGGCTCTCATTCTGTTACCATGCTCTATTTATATTTCCTAAGATGGTTTAATGGCTATTTGGTGCCTTAGAAAGAAATTCACTGGGAAACTTAATTCCAAACTACTGTCAGTTGATACTAGTTACCTAACCTTTAAAGTGTTATATTCCCTGAACACCTTAGTTTAATTAAAATACAGGACTGTGGTGACATGACATAGTGAAGATTTTATTTAATAAAAAAATAAGAGAATATTGGGTATTGGTAAATGCTATGACAATTACATAATGTTTTATCTTTGTTCATCTCAAGTTTGATAGATTTTGAGTAAACTTAAAAATGTTTTTGTTATATAAATGTATTCCATAGCATTTGCTAACCTTTTAAGAGATAGTTCATTCTTGGTGATAATTTGAAATGTCACTTGTTTTATTTTTATTTTATCTTTTAATTGTTCCCTTATAGAATGTTTCTCCATCCCAGAGAGATGAAGTGATTCAGTGGCTGGCCAAGCTCAAGTACCAATTCAACCTTTACCCAGAAACATTTGCTCTGGCTAGCAGTCTTTTGGACAGGTTTTTAGCCACTGTAAAGGTAAATATTTTAGGATACACTTAAACACAATGCCTTGTTTGAGGGTTTATATTTTAAACCAAGGGCAATTTGTAAACATTCTGGAAAGTGACAGGGAATGGAAAACCTTAGACATGATCTGTGCCCCTGTAAGAAGGCATGATGTTTTCTATTGCTGTAAATTTTTAGAAATGTTTTGAATTGTAATCTGTAATTTTCTTTTTGCTATCAGTATTCATAACTTATATTTAACCTATAAAGTTTTTGATTTTCTGATTTTATTACAAACCATATATCATCAGCAGAATGTTTAGTCATCTTTTAACATATTGGTGTATTAGATGTTAACAGTGAGGTAGATTAGAAAAGTATAAGCCTTCTACACATTTTTTTCTGTCACTGCTTATTGACTATCCGTAGTGTTTTAAAATACATAAATACTTTCTATTTGGAGTATAGCATACATTTGGAGTATAGCAAGATGAACTGAACATAAGTGATATATATTTGTTGAATGACAGTATATGAAAATGAATAAGTTTTATATTGTCTCTGTTGCTATATATCATTGGCTATATTATAAGAAATTGGTCATAGTAGGCTCTCAATTGATTTAAATCAGAAAGTTAGCATTTATTTAATGGCAAGGCATAAAAATTAGAAAAGCAATTCATTTGTTGTCATTTGTATGCCTGGGAATATATAAACTGGGGGAACTATGAATTTAGTGCTGAGGATACTGTACTGTGTTATTAAGCATGAAAAATAGAAGTTAAAGAAGTATGGAGTGGAAGAATTTGGATGGCCATTCAGTTACCTTTTTTTTGGTTTCACACTTGTACTCTTAAAAGAGACTTGAAGAATCTTTTATTATACTAATTGCCTGCAATCTAGGTTATCTGAGATGTCTATTTAACCTTACTATCAAGCCTCCCCTACTAGAGCTAACCTCCCTTTCACAGAGAAAGATGAGTTTAAACGTAATGTACTTTCTTGGTTTTTTGTTCTTCACAAATTATTAATAACCTTATTTTAGCTTTTGTCATAGAAAAGATTCTTATGGGCAGCCTGGATGGCTCAGTGGTTTAGCACTGCCTTCAGCCAAGGGTGTGATCCTGGAGACCCGGGATCAAGTCCCACGTCAGGCTTCTTGCATGGATCCTGCTTCTCCCTCTGCCTGTGTCTCTGCCTCTCTCTCTCTCTGTGTCTCTCATGAATAAATAAATAAAATCTTAAAAAAAAATTAAACATTCTAAACAGATTTGGAGAAGTTACTGGATCAGTTAAAGAATAGTGCCAAGTATCTCATTTTCTTCATAATTCTTTTTTTTCTTCATATTTCTTATTTAATGGATCCTGTCATGTTATTAGCATAAGATTCTCTTACTTAGATGGTTATCTATACTGAAAAAATTAACCTAAAATGTATTCATAGTTTGAATACAGTGACTTAAAACAGACCATATAAGGCTGCTCCAATGACTAGAGCCTCAATCCTAGCTGTAGCTCTTTTAAAGTTTGGATTCTGAGCCCTATCCCAGAGCTACTGAATCTGAATCTCTAGTTGGTAAGATCTGGATGTCTTTATTTAAAGAAGCAAAAACAAACTACACAGATGACTGACATATATCCAGGAATGAGAACAACTCTTTGAAAAAAAAAAAATCACACTTGCTATTGGGATTCTTTTTATTATAAAATTTTTTGGTACCCTTGACTTCAGATTTGCATTACCTACCTTGAGTTGTTAATTGTAGGGCTCCTCTTGGGAGTGAACTCTAATTACCTCAAGGATTTGACTTGTTGTATACACTTGGGGGGAAATAAAGGATCCTGGAAAACTCTTAGCCACAAGATCTGCCTTCACTTCCTAAATCACTTGTGTTGTGTCCTTAACTTCTGAGACATAATAGACATGATGGTATTTTTAGAAGTGCTTTCTAAACCATAATGTCTGATTAATGTTAATGATTACATAAAAATATTGATAGTATTGAATCAGCTTTTATTTTTCATATAGGCCGAGGACTAAAAGGTGCCTAGATAGTATGCTACTTACACTGAGGCATTGGTCACTGGCATGCTTATTCAATAAGTAATTAATCAAGGCCACATCAGGTCATTAGAAAGTTTCCCCAATTTTAGAGGAATGTAATATTTCAGTATAAGATAAATGTCAAAACAGGTTTTCTTTGTGTAATGTAACTTAACTCTGTGTCATTCAATGTAATTGGATTTAATTGTTCTGGTTATTTAAAACTGAATTCCGATGCTGGGTTTGGCAAACCCTTATTCTATCAATAAGGAAAAGTAGGCCTACCTTATAGATAAAAGTCAAATTCAAGCCTTCTTATGCATGTCAAACCCTTTAGAAAGTTTTTTCTCCTACTAATTGATTCTGTGTGAATTTAGGAGACTTTCATTCTCGCCATGGAACCTGAATATGTACATGTTTTTGTGGGCACTTAATTAGAAAATTTCTACTTATCTGCTAACAGTCTATATATAGTTTTTTAAAGCTGGAATAGGGGCAGTCCGGGTGGCTCAGCGGTTTAGTGCTGCATTCATCCCAGGGCCTTATCCTGGAGACCCAGGATCAAGTCCCACGTCAGTCTCCCTGCATGGAGCCTGCTTCTCCCTCTGCCTGTGTCTCTGCCCCCCCACCTCTCTCTGTGTCTCTCATGAATAAATAAATAAAATCTTAAAAAAAAAATAAAGCTGGAATAGGTTTATAGTCTTTTTAATGTCTTCTTTCTGGAATAGGTTTATAGTCTTTTTTAAAATGTTGTTTTCTTTCTCTTTAATTCCCCTAACATCTAGTACATTAATATTACTGATATGACCGGTAAAGAGAGTAAAAATAAAACTAGCTAATAAAATACACACATGAACAAATTTTTAATTTTTGGAATTTTATTTATTAAATGTCTTCTAAAATTAAGTTCTTCTCTACTGGGTAGAAATTTAACTTTGGGTAACTAGCATTGGTTGAACTTTTACAATGTAATATCTTAGTGTTGTCATAGAATATAATTATGGCTAGGGTTGTGAAGTTAAAAGTTAGTCCTGATCCTAGAAAGCAGTAGGTAGGAATCAGATTAATTATTCCTTCGAATATTGTGCATACCTGTCTCACATGCATATCTAGTTTTTAAAAATAAACTCTTGGGATCCCTGGGTGGCGCAGCAGTTTGGTGCCTGCCTTTGGCCCAGGGCGCGATCCTGGAGACCCAGGATCGAATCCCACGTCGGGCTCCCGGTGCATGGAGCCTGCTTCTCCCTCTGCCTGTGTCTCTGCCTCTCTCTCTCTCTGTGACTATCATAAATAAATAAAAATTAAAAAAAATAAAAATAAAAAATAAACTCTTTTAGCTTTTTGAAAATCACTGAATTGCTTTTTTTTCTCTTCAAAATTTTAGGCCCACCCAAAATACCTGAGTTGTATTGCGATCAGCTGTTTTTTCCTAGCTGCCAAGACTGTTGAGGAGGATGAGGTATTTTCCTTTAAAAATTAGTTGTGTCTGTTTCTTGAAAATTTCTATTTATTAACTTGCTTTCTGTTCACCAGAACAAAAACTGAAAATTAGTTTATTTTTTTCTGCCCTCTTCACTCTGCCCTGTTCCCCTCCTCTCTGCTTTGGATAGAGAATTCCAGTACTGAAGGTGTTGGCAAGAGACAGTTTCTGTGGATGTTCTTCATCTGAAATTCTAAGGATGGAGAGAATTATTCTGGATAAGTTGAACTGGGATCTTCACACAGCTACACCATTGGATTTTCTTCACATTGTAAATATACCTAATGTCTCTTAGTTTCCTATTTTAATATGTAATCTTATTTTAGTAACTTAAGAAAGTAGATTGCCCACTCATTTGTTTTGTAGTGATTTTTAGGAAAAAAAATTAGAAATTAGGATATATGTCAAATTTAACTTAAGAAATTAATACCTGAGGTTATGTCAATTTCTGTACATAATTTACCTAAAACTTTAAGTAAAACCGGTGTGATGTTCTTGTGATTTTTTTTTTTTTTCAGTTTCATGCCATTGCAGTGTCAACTAGGCCTCAGTTACTTTTCAGTTTACCCAAACTGAGCCCATCTCAGCATTTGGCAGTCCTTACCAAGCAACTCCTTCACTGTATGGCCTGCAACCAACTTCTACAATTCAAAGGATCCATGCTTGCTCTGGCCATTGTTAGTTTGGAAATGGAGAAACTTATTCCTGACTGGCTTCCTCTTACAATTGAACTGCTTCAGAAAGCACAGGTAGGTGTCAAGTCAAATTAAGTGTTCATTTTCAGTTCTTGTCTTATTGGGGATACGTAGGGCTACTGGATGATTGTAAAATTAAGAGACCTTTCTAATTTGTACTGGCAAACCACTTTGAAGAGGAGATTAGAGTAAAGTAATAAATACCTTAAACTTACAGGCTAGGTGAACTTTTTTCTCTTCTAAAGCTTAGATAGTATTTTCTTGCTTTTCAACCCTTCTTCTAGGTTACTTAAAATCTTTAAGAGTCTTTAAAAAGTAGTAAGATTCTGTATATTATATTGTCCTTTTGTTTTGTATGAAGAACCTTCCTAGCTATATGTGTAGGTTTAATCATAGTACTTCTTAACTGCATACTTCACTTATTTTGTAAAAGATAAATTAAAAACATAAATGGCTAGAAGTTGCTTTTTAGACAAGCAAATAATTTATTGTTGGCTAGAAAGTCAAGTATTTGTACTAGACTTTGGCAAGTAGAACTTATCTTTCTGAAAGAGGTTTTGTCCTGGTAGTTCCTATTATTGCCTAAGATTATTCCATCACTTCTATCTGCAAATTGACAGAAAATGTTATAGGCCAGTTTATATAGACAGTTATCGACTGTCTATATAAAATGTACAAGTTTTAATAGAGAAAATTCTCATTCAAATGGAAAAGTTAGTAAAGTGTGCTATATATTGGCAACTACTTTGGATAAGCTTATTGGTTGTATTCATGTCATCAAATAGAACTTAAAGGTTTACATTTGCTGTAAACCATACCCCTTGCCAACTGAATCCATAAAAGACTGTGAATAATCTACTTTCCTTTTACATATCCCTATTTATTCTTATTTGGTGGTAGTTATTCTGATTTATTTTATTGGATTGTCTTTAGAGAAAAGACAGTTAAATTCTGAGCTTATGTAATAATTACATTTTGTAATAAAAAAGAACTAAGTTGAGCAAAGAGCTGCAGTTATTGAACTTAGAGTACTGTAAAAGAGAATAATACTTGAATTTGGTGTTTTATAAGATGCTTAGTAGATCTCATGGATGTGAACTGTAAAAGTTAGCACACATGTAAGAACCTCAGTGCTCAGCTCTGAGAATTTCAGTTCCTAGTCTGTGAGCAGAGAAAGATTAAAGGCCTTTTCATAAAAAGGTTGGTGATCAGAGCAATATATTAGCTAGATCAGAGCAGTATATTAGCAATACATTAGACAAGGCCCATGCCTCGTCTGTGTTCTTTGTTCCACTGTTTTTAGCATGGCTCCGCTTGTTCTATATCCCTAGGACAGGTGTATGATGTTAGTTGTAACACAGGCCGTTTCTCCTTTACAAGGGAGATATGTTCTCTTATTATTAAATTTTTTTTTTTAAGATTTTACTTATTTATGAGAGAGGCAGAGACCTAGGCAGAGAGTGAAGCAGGCTGCGTGCAGGAAGCCCGATGTGGGACTCGATCCCAGGACCCCAGGATTACACCTTGGGCCGAAGGCAGGCTCTCAACCACTGAGCTACCCAGGTGTCCCGATATGTTCTCTTAATGGCATATCTTAGATTGTTAAAATTGAGAAGTATTTCTTTCCATTGAAATAAATGCTATCATGAAAATAAATTCTAGGAGATAGTTGCTATTTAGTGAGAATTTTTAGAAATTATAAACTACCATATAAGAATAGTGTGGCACAGGAAATTTACTTTGCCTACCTATGGTGTTGGAAAGTGAACTTGAATATTAATCATTTACATGAGACTGTGGGAGTAGGGGAAGGGATATTAATAGAAAACTTCTACATTCCATTTTTCATTTTTTTTATTGGAACAGTTGACATCTTTATTTTTAAAAAATATTTTATTTATTTATTCATGAGAAACAGAGAGAGGCACAGAGGGAGAAGCAGGCTCCATGCAGGGAGCCCGACATGGAACTCGATCCTGGGTCTCCAGGATCACACACTGGGCTGAAGGCGGTGCTAAACTGCTGAGCCACCAGGCTGCCCCTGTTGACATTTTTAAATGCTCTGACTTGGTCTCTGTGCCTATTCCCAAAGCTAGTAGAGAAAATTTACTATATGAGGTATTACTGTCACAAAGAAAGGATAGACTCTGAAGCATAAATAGTAAGATTGTTGTAAATAGCATTTGTATTCTCTAGCTTTGAGAGCTTGTTCTCTACTAAAAAAAATACTGGAGAATATGCTTATTCTCTTTCATAAGTCTTCTGGTGTTTGGTGCTGTAAGAAGAATGTTCACTGAAATTTGTTCCTTTTTATTGAAGGAGTATTACGGATTTAGAACTTGAAGAAATCTTTGAAATCATTTCATTCATCTATATATCTTAAGCCTGCAGTCCAGGGAACTTGGGACTTTCTCAGAGACATACAGGACTGCTTAATAAAGAACCAGTGCTTTCCCATGCACACCTTAAAGATTTAGTTCAGTGGTTTTCAGAGTTTCTTTTAGAACTGGAATCCTTCCCTTGACTCCAACAAAATCTTGTACACAATCCCAGAATATAAAGTAGGAAAATACTACTTTCTAATATGTATTTGGGGCAGAGACCTGTTGGGTGCAGTCTCACTCAACATGGCCTCTCCCCTTCTGCAGGCTGTTAGGACATAGTTTAAAAAACATTGTTCCATTCTCTTATGTGAATAGTTATAGTCCACAAACATGTATTGAAAAATCTGTGATCTAAGGCACTGGGGATACAGTGATTGTAAAAAAATGAAAAAAGGTCTCTGCCCACATAGTATTCAAATTATAATGGAAAAGATAGTTAAAAACAGTATCACAACTTTGGGACTTGGTCTAAACAGTTCTCTAAAACCAACTGGGACTGATAACCAACATATGTGGCCCAAACCTGATGGATCCTGATTCTTTAAGGCTCAAGACTGTCTTTGCTGCATTCATTTGTGTTTAGGTAGGAGTATCAGGTCTAATATCTTTGTAATTAGACGTGTGATAAGGCCATGTACTATCAAATATTCTCTCTGCATTCTTGGTTCTAGCATAGGAAATTTTTGCAACGTATTGGTGAGATAATGCCAGAATTACTTCTGACGTGTTTCCCAGTGTCCTCGTTTGAAGGGACTACTGATGTCCATCATAGACAACCCCATACTGTGAGGAGACCACTCTCACTGGCTCTGTCTTTATTCCCTCTGACTGCAGACAAAGTACAGTGAGTGTTCCTGGTTTGAAAGGCAAGCTTCCTTCCTAGTTGCCCAACCCTGCTTCTCTTAGCTCCCATGATACCTGTTGGTCACCTTTCTGGAATGGCTACACTTCTTTCTCTTATCCCTTCTTTCATTGTTCTACCTCTGTAGCTACACTCACATTCTCCTTTTTCTGATTAATGTGACCCACTGAGCATTTCAGGATGTGAACTCTACTGAGTTGAGTGTAATCATCTCCCTCATCCCTAGCCCAGCAGTAAAGTAGCAGGCCTTCCCCACCAGGGTCTTGAGGGTTCGTAAGGCCAGACTGCTGCAGCAGGTGTTTTCAGTGCTTCGTGCTGTCCAGCAAACCTGGGGCCATCTGAACCTGTCATGTGTGTTGTGTTCTTCTGGTCAGTAACCCATCAGCTGTCTGCCCTATAGACTTTCAATGCTGTCTGCCTCACCTTCCTTGGATTAGAATATTTGTGATACTTTTACCTTTCTAGGCCCCTAAATATTAGTCATTTGCTAAAGAACAGTTTATTAAAGTAAAGTAGTAAGTACTTTTCAGAAATAATTTTTATACTATAACCTTTTCACTTCCCAATTTCTTTCATTTCTGTTATCTCCCTTTTGTTTGGGCTTCTTGAAATACTGACAGAGGTACTTATCTCCTTAACCATAAACCCCCATCCTTCTTCTGTGTTTTTGTTCCACTCTTTTTACTATGGCTCAGCTTGTTCTGCATCCCTGGGATATGATAAGTCCTAGCCTACACTTGTAAGCTTCATAGTTGGGGACTATCTTTAAGTATTATGAATTCTTTTAAGGGAAGAAAAAAAATTCTAAGACTAGCTATTAGTAGTATACCCTTAGGGTGCTATCTAGTGTCTTTCAAACAAGGGAAAAAAATTAGTGAACCAAATGGTAGAAATTAAAAATGGTCATTTTTCTATATTGTTTCTGAAGAGTTTAGGCATTTTAACATTTGTACTGTGATAACACCTGCCTTTCATTCTTCTTTCCACTTACACTTTTCTGGGTAACAAGTAATGAATATTTTTAGTGATAAAACCAGTCTTGTGACCAAGTGTGTTCGTTGTTCTTGCAGATACGTTATTTTCCTTTATTTTCTCTGTGGTATTGCAAACAGTCATGCTGTGTACTGTAGGTTATATAGGTATGAATGAAATGTGGTTAAGAAATATCCAAAAATGGGCAGCCCCGGTGGCCCAGCGGTTTGGCGCCACCTTCGGCCCAGGGCGTGGTCCTGTAGACCCTGGATCAAGTCCTACATCAGGCTCCCTGCATGGAGCCTGCTTCTCTCCCTCTCCCTCTGCCTCTGCCTCTCTCTCTGTCATGAATAAATAAATAAAACCTTAAAAAATAAAAAAGAAATATCCAAAAATACTTATAAAATACACAAGACTGGAAAGTGATCCCTGATAGGTAATAATCTAGTAGGCTTCCTGGAGATGGTGACAGTTAGCCAGACCTGGAAGGAATAGGTAATACAATTTCAACGGGTAGAAGTAGGATGAACCCAGGGGTAAAGTAAGAGAAGGCAAGCTGTGCGCAGACTAGAGAGTGCAGGCCTGTTTGGCAGAAATGGGGAACACAGCGTAGGATACACCAGGAGATAAGACTAAAAAAGAAGGTTGGGGTCAGATTGTGGAGAGTCTTCTGCCAAGCTAAAAAGGTTAGCTTATTTTCTGGTAGGCACTGAGGGGGCCGCTAAAATATTCAAATAGGGGAGAAAAATGTATGTTGTTAGAGGAAGATTATTTTATTTATTTTTAAATTTTATTTATTTTTTTAAAAGATTTTACTTATTCATGAGAGACACAGAGAGGCAGAGACACAGGCAGAACGAGAAGCAGGCTCCATGCAGGGAGCCTGATGTGGGACTTAATCCTGGGACTCTGGGATCAAGCCCTGAGCCGAAGGCAGTCGCTCAACCTGTGAGCCACCCAGGCATCCCAGAGGAAGATTATTTTAACTAATTATAGGGAAAGTAGGACAGAGAGACTAATTGTATTCTTTACCACAGGTAAGATTTTGAAAGCCTTCCATGTGTAGTCATTGTACTAGAAAAGAAACTTAGGGAATAAAGATGAACATGATGCAATACCTGCCTTTTGGGGGCTTATAGTCTTTTTTTTTTTAATTTTTATTTATTTATGATAGTCACACAGAGAGAGAGAGAGAGGCAGAGACACAGGCAGAGGGAGAAGCAGGCTCCATGCACCAGGAGCCTGATGTGGGATTCAATCCCGGGTCTCCAGGATTGGGCCCTGGGCCAAAGGCAGGTGCCAAACCGCTGTGTTGGGGGCTTATAGTCTATAAAGGAAAAGCTTAATGGTTAAGCAGATTATTTTAATACAGTGTGATGTGAGTATGGTGACAGGCTGAAATAGAAACAGATTCTGGAATTTGGGTGTGTGAGGGGCATGGGGGAGTCAAAGGGTAGCTTCAGAAAGGACACCTGAACTATCCTGAAGAATACAAAGGAATTAGTGAAACCTCCAAATTAAACAAAAACAGTTCTTGTTCATGTTGTCAAGCCTACTAATTTCTACAAAAATATAATTTATCAGAAGTTCTCATTGGCTATTTTAAAAAAAAATACTTAAATTGTTCTAGATTATTGGCTATTTTAAAAACAAAATTGTTCTAAATTCTTAGCCGGGTGATCTTCCCCATCTCTTAAAGTTTTTCATACCTCTGTTTTTTTTCCCCTAAATTCTGAATCAAGTTTATGTTTATCTGTTCCTTGGTCTTCATGAATAGATTAGAAGAGGCAAAGAGGGTGGGGTGAAGGGTCTTCTAGCCAGGGTTAGTAGACTGCACAAAAGTACATGTTAGATTTATATAGTGAACAAAAGAGAATAGTTTCTGTTTTCATGAAGATGTTCACCGTATCACTGCAAATACAGAATTTAAGTTTCAAAGAGTCTGACATTAGAAGTACAGATTTGGACATGTTCTCTAAGAAGATGATAGGTAGGCTGGAGAAATAGAGGAGTTTTAATTAGAAGGTGTGGGGAGAGAAAAGAAAGCTGGGGAGGAGGGAAGGTGGTCAGCAAAATGACAGAGTAGTCTATATTAACTACATGATCAACTTTGTGGGTTTTTTTCCCTCCTGGCCCAGATGGATAGCTCCCAGCTGATCCACTGTCGGGAGCTCGTGGCACATCACCTTTCTTCTCTGCAGTCTTCCCTGCCTCTAAATTCCGTTTATGTCTACCGTCCCCTCAAGCACACCCTGGTGACCTGTGACAGAGGAGTGTTCAGATTACATCCCTCCTCTGTCCCAGGCCCAGATTTAGATTTCTCCAAGGACAACAGCAAACCAGAAGTGCCAGTCAGAGGTGCAGCAGCCTTCTACCATCATCTCCCAGCTGCCAGTGGGTGCAAGCATACCTCTGCTAAACGCAAAGTAGAGGAAATGGAAGTGGATGACTTCTATGATGGAATCAAACGGCTCTATAATGAAGATAATGCTTCAGAAAATGTGGGTTCAGTATGTGGCACTGATTTATCAAGGCAAGAGGGACATGCTTCCCCTTGTCCACCTTTGCAGCCAGTTTCTGTCATGTAGCCTCAAGTGTTACCTTTAAGTGCAAACTAAGGTAGACTACTCTGAGAATGGGAACATGGAGAACCATGGAAAGGCTATATAAAGGTATATACCTTATCAGGCTGATTTGAAGTGAGCCAGAAAAAAAAAATTACTTTTGTGGTAAATTATAATCAACATTATTTAAGCATATAAAGACCAAAAAAAAAAAAAAAAAGTAAATTCAGAAGATCCAATTTTTTTTTCAAGTAAAAATTTTTTTGTGGTGTTTGTCAGTTCCATCCTTTCTCTACTAAAATGAAATGGAAATTGTACCCATATCAAAAATTCATATTCAGTGTTTTTTTTTTTTAAAAGTTCCAAAATTCATAGCTGGCACACACCCTGTCTCCAGCATCCTGATTTAAATTTCCTCGTTTTTGTTTGCTGCTTTATTGACTACTTAATGAACTTTTATGCATGTTGATCTGTATAGCCTGACTTCCACTGATTAGGAAACCCTCAAAATAATTTTTTAGCAATTTAGTGAATAAATTATTTCAGTCTGGCAGCCATGTTTAATCCACGATTCAGATTGATCCAAAAAGGGTTCTTCAAAATTGCCCCATGTGAATGAGAGGTGGTAATAGAAAAAGGACTAGCATTACCACATTGATTTTGTGTTTGTCTCATTTCAGTTCCTGGAGTTCAGAAACAAAATTATTGTTTTCATTTTTATCTTAATTTAGAACTTAAAAGTGGCATGTAATTATAATTAGGGCACTGTTAGATTTGTTGAAAGCATATTTGACATTTGTATAAAATAATTTGTGATAAAGTTAATATATCCAGGTGCTCACCAAAGAAATATCAAACGATTAAGGTTTTGGTTTCTTTTGTTTTTGGTAACTGGTCAGTTTTTACTCATTTATAATCAGTAGGAGAGACTCTCTAGATATTGGGACAGCTCTATGATTTGGGTCTGTAACATGTAATAACTGAATTCAGTACCCTAGATTTATGTTAAGCTATTAGTATTTTCTTGATGAAAATTACCCTACCTGTATTTCTCCTAATTTCTGGATCCTGGGCTCCTTGTGCAGTCTGAGGAAGGTATTGCAGTCAGAACCGTGTACTGATGATAAAAGCCTCTGGTAGCAATAAAGTTGTCCTTAACCTTTGTATCTTTAACTTTTTTCTGCTTGCAAAGAGGTACAAGTTCCTATTGCTTAGGCACTGCTATTTCAACTACAGAAACTATAAAAATCCCAAATACATGCTCACAGAAAATAAAACATGAAGGGGATTTAAATGTGACTGAGGATTAGGTTTTGACATAAGAATTTTTCTTCTGTATCCTTCTCTCACCTTCCAGACAGTGAATTTTCATCTGAGAGAACAGTTTGAGAGAGCACGCTAGACCTGCATCTAGATAACGTCATTTTTAGCCCACTGGTTTTGTTCCAGGTTAGCAGAGCAGGAGTATTCTCAGGTCAGCATTTGACTTGTGGTAAGGTGGACTGCCTACCTACTTAGGACCTTAAAATCCATTCAAATGGGAAACTTTTGCTTACATGTAAGTACAGGAAGTGGGAGAGAAGATTTAATAAATGAACTATTTATGGGTGAAGATAGCAGGAGATTGGTTTTGTAGATACACATTTTTAAAAATCCCCCTTATCCTAATTTTCATCTGGTCGGTTTCTTAATTCTCCTGCATTGTGGGAGCTCTTAGAAATTTTACAACTACATATATTCATCATTTCTACAGAATAAATGGCACTTAATCCCTTCTACCTCCATTTAACAGATAATGAGCACTTTTGTTGTATAAGCTAATGATAAAATTGAGTCTAGGGTCAGGATGTTTCTAGTCAGTCGCTACAGATTGAATAAAAGAGGGCAGTAAAATTTCAATTGGTTGATTTGGAGGTTTTCTAATCTTACCAAAAATTGATGATGAATCAGTTTGGACCATGGTATTGTTTTCAAGGGAAACTGAATTGGGATGGGTGGGCTGCTAGCTCTAATGCCTCAAACCTGTTTAACCCATAGTTCAATTAAATGATGGAACGCTGAGGACCAGACCTTCCTGAGCACTATTTCACTTCACTGTCCCAAAGACCTGATCTACTATGGGGTCTTGGCTCTGAGGTGCCTGAGCTCATGAATTTAGACAGAAAAAGCAGTTTTCTTGAACAGCATGGAACTTCTCATTAAGAATGCTCCTGTTCATTGTCTCGATTTTCTTGATGAAAATTACCCTACCTGTATTTTTCCTAATGACTTCTGGATCCAGACTTGGGTGCCTGTCCCCTAAAGTAGTATTTCTTTTCTCTTGTGTTAGAAACAACATGTATGTGTGTCCTCTATAGTCTACATACCTGGACTTATAAGCTTCCTAATTTACTGATTCTGGAGTTCCTGAAATAAAGTCAGTCATGCTTGAGCATTACTGCCCAGAGCAGGACAGTGGCCTTTCACTTAACAATGTGATTAAGCTGCTGGCATTTGGCCAACATGGTGAGGCGCTTATCCTTAAGGTAGTTTGTACGTTTTCAGCTGGAAAAGGGAAGGTATTGTGCCAGATGTTCTCACAACCATCCTGAAAGATCGTATCCCTGTCTGCATTAGCAAGTTGAGGGTTAGAGAATCGTCACATGCCACATAGCTAAGAATTTTTTAACAAGGTTCAGTTTCTCACTTCAATCTTTACCCATTGCATTTGCTAACATGAAGTTTTTTCTAACATGATTGTTATCTCTGAAGCCTCCAAAACTCTAGAAATTTGCCTTTAAATGTTTGAGAGGGTCTCCTATCTATGCCCAGTATTAAATAATGTTTTGAGCTTTGGCCACTAGGTGGTGCTTCTAGAAAAACAAAGCATCTTTTTAGAGTTTTGGGGAAAAACTGAGTTACTTAGGTTTACTGCATGAGAATGAGCAGTTGAACACTCGTCTCGTTGCGAAACATTAACATTTGCAGTTGCAGAATCACAATTTAAGGCACGGGAGTCCTGTATATCTGGGACTGAGGGAAAATGAGCAAGATCTGCTGTAGTATGGGGCAGATTGTGTCTAGCTAGGTCTCATACCAAAACCCAAAACAGAACCAGTTTTACAAAACTAATCCTAAATTTTCCAAGTAGCCTAGCCCTGCAAAGTAGCCTAGAAATAAAATGGAGAAGACTTGTTTCCACATCCATGAACCTTGCTGCTTTCAGTTTGAACTGTATTTGACCCAATTCATTCAGACAGAAAAGCTGAAGTACAGGCATATATAACATTGGTTGCATCAAGGAATTAAAAGCTTTCTCTCACCATAATAAGTTTAGTGGCCATATAAAATGTACTATTACCTTACTATCTCTGGATTATTGAAAAGGCATAGTAAGAGGTAACCAAGAATGTCTTACCAGAGAAATTGGGGAAGAGTTTACAGCTCATTTTTTAGTTTCCAGGAGCTTCTGAGTAAAGGGTAAAATGGGAAAAACCTCTCCCTTTCTCTTGACTATAATCAGCGCATCAAATGTCAGAATTGTTGATCTTACTGTGTTACACAACAGTACAGTAATAGGAAAGCACAGGCCCAGTGAACTGGTTTCTCATTTCTCTGAAACAGCTTATTTTGGTAGGCAAGAGGACACTCTAGAATGAAGAGCAACCTTAAGCAAGCAACCACTGAGAGGCAGTCTGGGCAAGGTGGGGGAGGAGGGGGCTTCTGCTTTTCAGAATACAGTCTGTCTTTAGCAGTTTCGCAGAGAAAGGGCTTACCTTTTCTTTTGCTCCAAAACTTTTCTGTGTTCATGAGCTATACAGAGACAAGTGCAATTCATAGTGTTTGGCTACATCCCCAGCATCTAATGTAGGCCTGGTACAGTAAAGCAAATGAAGTATTAGGGAAGGGAGAGAGGAAAGGGGTAGGGAAGGTGGATGGATGGATGGATATAAATAGCAAGGAGAACTGGAACAGCACCTTCACAGATCTGAGAGCATTGTGCAGTGGGTACACAGTTGAACCAAACCCCAGCACTTTCAGCACTTTATTCTGTACTCCCTTTCCCATATACACACGTATGTGTGTGTGTGTTGGGGGGGGGGAGTGGATAGGGACCAACTTCATTATAATAGTCTCTGCCTTCTCTGATCTAGGTGCTGTAGTGTTGAAAAAGTTTCCATAGTGGGCTGAAATGCCATTCAACTCACAGTACTGTGGTAACTGATTGGAGGCAGACATGAGATCTTCATTTGTGCCTCACACTATGTTCTACTGACTACCCAAAGATCTCATTCGTGTACAGCTACTTGTCAGAATAGGAAGGTTGGAAAGGGAGGAGTGGACTTGTAGGCTCAGAATTAGTCTTTTCAAAGGAACATAGTAAATCCCTTCACCAACCGGGGAGTTTCAGCTACTTAGTAGAAACTGATCGGAAGGCCAGATGGTATCCATCACAAGGACTAAATGGCATGGTCTTAAGAACTCAAGTACAAGGATCTTCAAAGCGATCCACATTGACATCACTGTCAGTCTCCAGGATGGAAAGATGACAGTCATCTGCAAAGCAAAAGGTTTTGTGTAGAAGCATTTAAATACAGTGAAAATTATGTACTTAGTTTTTCAGGTATTTAGGAACTGTTTACTTATAATAAGCTGGGCCAATAGGCAAAACTGATCAATAACTAAGAGGGAGGTTTCATTTTATAGTTGTCAGGAATTGGCGGAGGGGAGAGTTTGGTGAAGCATATTGGGAAGATGACCTAATTTTTTTCTGTCCCAGCAGCTCAGCAGATACTGATTCAGAAGATTTCTCTTTATACATGGGCTGTGCCAATCTCAAGTTGACCATCTAGACTACACTTGCTGAAAGTAATAAGGCATTCTATATCTGAAATCAAGTAATGTTTTTATTTTAAAAGACTAAATGAAAAATACCCATTACCAATGGAAACCGGTTCAGATGACTCAGTTCTTGCTCTGCTTTTCCACAATCTAGCTTGGGATAAGCAAATAATAATAATAATTAGCCCTGGAGTGGTTTCACAGCTCTTAGGTTCTCAAGTTCTGCTGGATGACCCAACTATCTGTTTTATCAACACTTGAGAAAAGGAACCAACTAGGGTAAAATGCCAACTCAACGGAGAGGACAGGGCACTTGATCAGTGGTGTCCGTGATCACCTTGCCCTAGGTAGCTGAACAGAGGCCAACCTAGAGTCCTGTTCCCCATATCCCCTTACTTCCTCTAACCTGGCCATAATGGGAGAAAAAAGGTACTAGCAACAATAGACTACACATTTCTTTACTTAAAGAAAAAAAGGTGCCTGATCTGACTTTTAAATGTTGCTCAAAAAATGTCTTTACACCTTGATGCAGAATTTTAAAAAATGAGTGACAGGGTTAAGTTCATATTAAAATATTAAAAATAAAATCAATTATTATACTTAGTGCTTACAGTAGTTTCACGTTATAGGGTGTTTGTGTTTGACTTACAAAACTGGTATGTCATGCTCTGGCATCAGTTAAAGGAGTTGGGACCCACTTATCTACCCCCAAGCCACTGGTGACATCACTAGCAGATTTATACCTTTATCGATTATAATGCAATATGGAGGGGAGGATGGCTCTTGACGCTTTTATTTTGACCATGTAGTGGCTCTGATGCATTTGACTTTATTGCATTTGAATGTATCTAAGAAAGCCTCTTGCCAACATGCTCATCCAATTGCTCTAAATGACCTCATTCCAAAAAGTAAAGGACTCAAGAGGCAGGGACTTTTGCTTCATCATTTCACCTTTCAACAGAAAACCATGTTACCGTTCTCAAATAGAGAGGAACACTCCTAAAGATCTTTACCAAACGCAGCTCATGCCACCAATAGTTTTTATGGTCTTCCCTATAGGGGGCTGAAAAATGAGGAAATAAGCTAACACTGTGGACCAGTAATGAAATTATAAGGTAACTTAAAATGCATGTTCATGGTCTAAAATAGAAATGAATTTGAAAGTTGTCCCTTGATTATGAAAACTGCCCCTTAGAGGTGACTGCTAATAAAGTAAAAGCCCTTCCTCTCTCTAGCCCCTCACAAATGGGTCAGCATTCGAAATCATAGCCTCAATGGCTGGAAGTGTGTGTGTTTGTACGTTGGGGGTGTTTTAAGTGAATTCCAGCAAAATCTTTTTTCAC